GCTCCCAACTGCTGGGATCACCAGGTAAGTAATAGTGAGGTTAGACGAAGGGCATTAAGAAATGATGGTAAATCAGTTGATGAGGTTGTGAATCTTCATCGACTGAGATGGTTGGGTCACGTGTTACGTATACCTGAACACCGATTACCACGACGAGCAATGCTGACCAGTGTTGGAGATGGTTGGAAGAACATTATGGGTGGCCAAACCAAAACGTGTCATCAGTGTTTACAGTCACTAACTTCTAGTCTGAGTCATGTTGGTAGATGCAGATTACTTGGTTGGGGTCCGCATGACCATCGTAACCAATGGTTGGAGACTGTGTGACATGACTCAGAATCGATCACAATGGCGTCGTAGGTGTATACATTCTCTGTCATCCCTTAAACTCTGAGATTAAAATCGTTTCATATCTTACTTTCTACGAACTAACTGTTTCTTGCTGTACTATGTCCTTATATGCCATCTTCCTTTTATACCTTGTCACCATTGTATTAACTACTTCGATGAATCCGGTGTTCATGTTGTTGTGCTAATGAGTGAGGTATGGCAACTTGGACCGATGTATATGTGTGCCTGGTCCTACGTTATAGCTGACTAACTGTCATTATTCCCGACGAAAAACCATCTATAAATTAAACTTCTCAACGTAAAAGCGTTTAATCTTGCCGTCCTACTAAGTTAGTAACACAATATGAATGGAAATTCTTCTAAATTTATAATCATATAAACAATCAAATGACCTGCAAACAAAGGTAGTGTTATTATTCTTTTGTTTGTTTTAAAGTTTCATTCACACCTTAGTTTTTTATTTGTACATAATCCTAGTTTCTTATTTCAATATATAAGGGCTTCATTCATTCATTCATTCATTATGAATAGATTGATTTCATACGGTGGGATAGACAATATATATATCGTGTAAATATTTCGTTGACCCTCATTTTAAACAAGCGTGTTTAATACAAAAATGCTACTATGTCAGTTGTTTTTTCAATAGAGAATTACATGAGCTATAGAATTAACTGATGTGCATAATCAATTTTAAAATATTTTAATGGTTGAAATCATGAGTCAATTAAAGCTAAACCATTACGGAAAACCTGGAAGCATTGGACGACCGTTTCGTCCTACTGTGGGACTCCTTGACAGTGCACACTCATGATCCCACCTTACGAGATTCGAACTCGGGACCTATTAGTCTCGCGCGCGAGAACTTAACCATTAAACCACTGAGCTAGCCGGTATCCAACGGTGTTAATGTCTAACTTCAACCAATCCACGAAATTGAGCGACACATCCACCATTGTCGTCAGTGAGTTACTATCTCACAACGAACCCGGTTGAACTCCACTGGCCACAACTTCTCACTAGAACTCCAGAAAATGTCTCTTGAAGCCAGTCACTAGTGTTTATATGTTGATTCATATCAGAAGGGTTTTTTGTGGATATTATGGTCATTTAAATGGTTTAGATCATGAGTCAATTGAAGCTAGACCCACCATGGAAAATCTGGAAGCATTGGACGACCGTTTCATTCTATTATGGGACTCCTCAGCAGTGCGCATCCACAATCAGATTTTTAAAAAACATAGGAATTTAGTTTAAACGATAACGTATACAGAATAGTTTATATTATCCCATGAGTGATGGCATTGAACATAATGTAATAGACCTTGATTTGTGTTAATTATCATCTCTAAACAACGATATCTAGAATCTTGAAGAGTCAACAAATCCTATACATACGTACATACATATTTGCCTCATATAAGTATATACATGTTCATAACATTTTTAAAAAATTAATTTACTTACCATGGTTAGATGTTATCAATATCGATTTGATGATTCTAGAACCCCAATACTTTTGATTGAACATTAGTAATTTTCTGTTATCCTCCGAAATCAACAATTGAGTAATATAGTTATGAACATCTAGATTTTTGATGAAACTTTTTATTTACTTACAATTATGTCATAGAAATATATTTGAACTGAGATCATCCTAGAATTATATCATACAACTATTCAAAATACAACATAAGAGTATAATCTTTTTACAAAATCAAAATGATATAGATTAAACATAAGAGATTCTTATTTATATCTGTACATTCTGTTATTGACTAAATATAAGAGAATTTGTTTGGACTTCTATTGTTCTTCATAAAATGTTATAAATAATCTCAATTCTTTTAGAATAAATGAATTCGGGATAGAAATGAAATTTAGAATGGAATTTTTGTTCTATTTAAAACTTCTCATCTGAATATATATCTACATCCTATGGTTGATATAAACATGAGGACTTGAGCCTAACACCTTTCGCTTTGAGCGACACCCAGTTATCCACTGGGCTTCTGAATTCGAACACCTAAAAACTTGCTCAACGATTATATTGTATATATCACTATTATGAAAGGTTTGAATTATTCTACGTTGCCAAAACCTGCAAGTAATCCTTACTTTTTAATCAGTATAGGTTTGAAACTTTAGATGATAATTATACTCAGTCAAAAACCACCATCAATTCAGTTAAAACACCGGACATTCGCTTTTCATCCTCTCAGTTTCGTAAACAAGATAGTGAGGTAGGACTTCCCTGATAGTGGTTGTATGCACATGACTATGTGAGATCATTTTGAGAGGGAGAGCTAACTCTACTCACTATCGAGGTCGTTTCACTACCACTACTGTTACTAGGTCAAGTATTTGTAACAATATTCTCAACTCATTCTGATAATTTTGTCTAACTTAAATATCATTGTCAGTCAGTTTACTGTTTTATTTTGTTTGTAACATTTCCGTTATGATTTAACTATTGTTTATTTATTTATTTGAACACAGATATTGGTACAAGGGGACACCAGATACATATGCGCCACACAAATCTCATTTGATTTGTGTGAGGGCTGTGATACTACCTGAGTGCCCAAACCGAAGCAAGTGGTTTTCTTAGGGAGCCACACCCCGAGCATTTGACCTAAAGGTCTAATCCACAAGGCAGTGGAGCATCGTAAGCAGATGCAGTCCCATGGTAGCCTGTGACCAACGATTGGTTCATACGCCATTTGTTCCTTCATGATACTGGAGCCCATGTGCACCATTGGTTTGGAATCAGGGTTTTCCAACTCCCCTACATGGACTCTCCGTGCCCACCAACCCGATTAAAGCGCCGGAAATCCTCTTTTCGTATTCAGTAGGACTTCCCTGACAGAGGCTATATACGTGTGGCCCTGTGAGATCATTTCGAGAGGGAGAGCGGACTCTCCACACTCTCGGTCGTACCAGGGCATTTATGGGTTCGGTTAGCTCAGTCGGTAGAGCATCAGACTTTTATGATTTGACTAAGAAAATGTTGTCCTTCACTTATTTTGAGTCCAAATACAGAAATTAATTTTCTATTCCCTTCATAACTGCAAGTAATTTAATAAGAGGTAACGAGATCTTTTATCAAATATTCGACATGATCATAAATAAATTAGGTTTATTATAAAAATGATAGCTGTACGGACCTCTCAATAGTACGCACCAACGATGTCCACATATAAGTGAATGTACTAAAGCCGCTTAGTTTCAAGGCGAGCGCAATATTGGGAAACGAATGAGTGATTACTAAACGATTCACACTTTACAGTCGTTATCATTGGGGTGATCAAACCAAGATATGACTTCAGTTCATGAAGTCATTGACTACTGGATTGAACTACGTTGATATGCGCAGACTATTTGATTGAGGTTATAGATGCATTCACACTGTCTTCCCTTGGATCTTAAGTTTTTAAATTATCTCATTTTTTATTCCGTGAATTCATTCTTTATTATCAATTCATGTTACCTATACCTAATCTTTCTACTACTCTGGCATTGTTCTTGGCAATATCATCTCTTTGTGATGTCATTGTGTGGCAACTTAAATTGATAAATATATGTGCCAGGTCTTACTTTACTTGTGATTGACAAACTGATGGAATGGCATACCAATCGAGGAACCTTTAGAAGTCACACAGCATTAAACACTTGTTTCATTCTGGTGTTTGAGAGTCTACACCTATGGTCTCGCACAAGAACTTCAGTTTTCTTAGTAAACATAATAGCTCAAAACCTGTGAGATTAAACTCAGTGACCAACATCTCTAACTTCAGTCAAACTGAGCTAATCTCTACAAACCATCCGACTAAATTATACCTTTATTTAATCTTGGTTCCTTTTCTCGTATATTTTCGAGTTTGAATATGGTCTATGGTTGTAGTAATAGTGTCCCAATGAGGTTATTTACTTAACTGCTAAGAGGATATGGAAGAGATGAGAGAAAATACATAAGCTAATGTTTTAACTATGCATCATACACAGAAGTAGCATACATTTTATGCTAAAAGTTATTTTACACATCATTAATTTACTAATTAGTTTACAAATACTAGAACAGAACCAGATAATTTGAGCAAATAAATTTCCCCATATGTTGCGACATTATTAACTAATAGATAAACAAATTCAGTTTTTATTTGAGTTCTAAGAAAAGATAGGAAGGCAGATTTCAATCTAATTATTTGCAGATTAAACGCTCAATAAGACAACTGAATGTCTTGGGTTCGATCCCTCATGAGTGGTTACTGCTAAAGAGTCTAGAATGAAACAGCTGTTCAACTCTCTGTAGTTTGCAATAATATTTCAACTTAGGTTGATCACATATATAATATCTACATAAAACTAGAAAGATTAATCAAAGAATATCTAACAGAATAACAATCCCTAGGATTATCTCCACTTTGGAAACTTAGTCAGCTAAATCAATGGACTTGTAGTCTGACTAGTAACCAAAACACTTAATCCAAATCAGATGCTGTGTAACATAACACAATGCTATCATCATCATATAAATATTAGGAAAATCGACATCTGTTCTTAAATGTAAGTCTAGATGAATAAATCACATATTAATATAACTTCACAATTTCATTATCTCATTTTGCCCTAATATTTATACGTTTCAGTTGATCGAGGTAATCGTCATTCGACTACGACAGAAACGCGAAGTAAAGTGACCGATGAGCTCCCAGGTCATAGACGCCATCCTCCACCGCCTCTTTCTCCAAACTCGAAAGAAGATATACACTATCCACGTGACGGGACTGTTAGTCGACCTCGAATTTCAGATGGTTCTAAAGCTGGTAAGTCTTAAAACCAGTTCATAGAGGAGCTGAGTTGATCATCTCTATAATATAAACGATATCTTGATCTCTGGAAACAATATTATTTAATAAACAACAGTTTTTACTATTATCTCGATGTGAAATAAACATAGAGTTCAAGTTAGGTGAACTATTTCTACGACAATAACACTAGTGCTCGTCTGTATAGTCATAAATTGCGAACTGCTGTTAGTTGGACAACTAGTGGAAACCAGAAAAGATCGGATAGTTGTTTCGTTCTAATGTGAACCCAGGGCACTCACGGTTGGAGACCTGAGCCCAACCCCTCGATCATTGAGTTGGCAGAGAGTGGCTATGATTCCTAACTTCACTAAACAATATCAGGCATGAAACAAGCATCATTAATTGGAATGGATTATAGTTGTGCAATATCACAAACCAACCGTAGTTGAGGATGCGAACTACTGGGTCTCAACCCAGTGACATGGGAGTTAAGCTCTCGGCTAGAGGCCTGAAGTTTAATCCCCTGTTGTGTTGTATGTGTGCACTGTGAAAGTTTTGAATTAGGTCTCAACAGCTATCCCGTGCATTTCTAATTCTTAGTGGTTGCATATATATATAATATATAAACTTAGTAGAGCTACTAAATAAAGCTACCAAAAAAACTCTTCCCGACTACAATACTTTAGGTTGCCAATGAATGATCTAAGTGTCAAGATCTACCTATTTAGTATAATATTAGAGGAGAGTAAGAACCCAGGGCTTGATGTTACTCACCAACTACTTTTTCCCAAGCACATTCAAGGATAATGCAAATGAGTCTCTTAGGTTTTAAACGTGAGGTGCTTACTTCAAAGCAAACCTTACAAAAAATGAAATGGTTAGGAGTGTGGCAAATACAATGTAGATCTGCACAGAGGACAATTTCGCCATGAACAGTTAGAGCTTACCCATACTAATCATGGCACAAACGTGAGTTCTGGGAGCTTATAACGAGTTGAACCGACATAGTAGTAACCTGAACTAAATATCATAGCCGGTTGAGGCAAGTCACCAGATACCTTTAACGTTTTACGATTTTTGTGAAATCATATCGCGAATCGACCAGACACGCTGACGTCACATACTTAGTCACCACACCTTGAGGCTGCAAGCTAGGTCGGGTGAAAAGAGGTGAGACACAAAATGCTCAGTTCCCATTCGCGGACAAATGGTGCCGATTCACTACACACGCCATCATCATTACTACATCGTAGCAAACAAGCTAGCATGTAATAGAACAAATACCACGTTCAACAAGAATCCGACGAGAGCTTCCCTGTTATACCCAGCAGATAGTGCAACATTCTACGCATAAAATGCATCCCACACAAAACCCATTGAAGCAGATGACAAAAACTGTTTATTAATGTTAACTAAAATATGATATCAATACAAAAACCTCAGTGCACAGACGAGAAGTAGGAGAGAGAAGCAACAGGATCGGGTACTATTGTTGCTGAATTTGGTTTCCAGTTCGCTGGACAAACTTCGCCATGTTTCTCAAAGAAAATAAAAGCATCCAAAAGACGAATCGCCTCATCAACTGATCTCCCTACAGGGCGATCGTTAACAGTAATTTGACGTAAAATCCCGTTGCGGTCAATGAGGAACATACCTCTAAAAACAAACAAATAAATACGGAGTCAGTTTACGGGCACAGACTCAGGATATGGCTCGTCTTTATGCAAGTACCGCCTGTGTGACATTTGCAATATGATAGATATAGCAGAGATGTGTTCATGAATTAACAAAACGAACCTGAATGCATGACCTTCCTGTTCGTCAAGAACCTCGTACGCTCGTGATATCTTTAGGTTTTTATCGGACAGCAAAGGTATATTCATTTGCCCCAAACCACCAGCTTTGCGATCCAATTTCGTCCATGCTAAATGAGCATAGACTGAATCAGTTGAGCATGCGATTACTTGACATTCTCTAGATTGGAACTCAGCAGCTCTTTCACTAAACGCAATTAATTCCGTTGGACAAACAAAAGTGCTGAAAGGAAAACATGGGTGTTAATTTAATTACGTGAAGTATTGTAAAATTGTTGAGAAATGAATAGTACATTTGACTTACAAGTCAAGTGGATAAAATACCAGTAACACATATTTCCCTTGAAATTGACTCAAACTAATTGGACGCAATTCCGTGCCAACAACGGCAGTGCCTTCAAAGTTAGGAGCAGGCTGATTTGGTAATAACATATTTGTTTAATCAAAATATCCCAAACGTACGGAGATCTAAGTAAATTATGACGATGACATCAATGCGTCCTCTGTATTTAAACACTTCATTCGTAAGGGGGAAAACCATGGAAAGCGTGGCCAGCCATACAGACATGTCTAACTCTCAATACAAGCCATTGGTTCAATTTAAATCAACCAATCAACATTCTGACCGTAGCCAAGTAACCTTGAGCAGCCTAACGTGATTGACTGAATTTTCTATCTCAATCGATTAAACCTTATGTTTTGTCCAGTGGTGTTTCTATCGCCTCAAGCACAGTGACCTTCATACTCTTACCTTAACGTATTGAAAGCGTTTTTGGGTTATCTAAGATGTACGTTTGATAACTTGGCTGTCAAAATTACGCTTCGTCCATTACGAAACATTAATTTGCAATGAAAAGTACTTGATCAGTCGGCATAGTTAATGGTTATATTAAGAAAACTAGTTTCACACAAATAATCTTTTTCGTTGTTGAAATGTTAGATCTAACCTTTTTTTTACTACGATTACAAGTAGATTCAATATTATTTACAGCTTACATACTTACTTACACCTATTACTCCCAATGGAACATAGGCCGCCGACCAGCATTCTCTAACTCACTCTGTCCTGGGCCTTCCTTTCTAGTTCTATCCAATTGTTGTTCATTCTTCTCATGCCTGTCTCCATTTCTTGGCGATTATTTACAACAGTTACCTCAAATTATTAATTTTTAACAAAGCAAAATAGGATTAGTGGAATAAAGTAAAATTATTTGATTACAAGTCTTCCCATTACTTATTAGCACCTTAAAATGTACACACAGATGGTAATCGTGATAAAGTTCCATAAACAATAAATAACCATGGTACCAATGGTTAAAACAGATCATCCATGTGTTAAAAATACTTTGAGTAATTATACCGTTTATTCTTTGAGAACCCTACGACACTATACCAAAGGATGGTAGATTGTTCTTATTCAGTAGGCAAAAATAAACGAACACCTTTGGAGTTGGAAAAGAGGAATGTAGAAGAAATGCAGATGACTAATAAATTAAATTCAGAAACAATCTATCCATTGCGTGGTTATGAAAATACTGTTCTGAAGAATTACAAACTACAAAATATGGTTGCCGAATGTTCCTGTGTTTTCAATGGTTCTTTTCCATCTGACAAAAGTTTGTGATGGAGACCATCGTTATACTTAAGAAATTTAATCTCCCTTCAAGCACCTTCATTCATCAGTTATATAATATACCCTTGTGAGCCAGGGTAATTTTATATTGGTTTTCAGGAGAACCAGACACTGTCCAGACTTTCATGTGACAACCCGGACAGTACAGTTCAATCTCGTTTAACAGGAGGGCTAGACGTCGCCCAGACTTAAAATTTGTAGCCCACATAGTACTGCTCAATCCTGTTTCCAGGAGAACCAGACACCACCCAGGCTTAAACTTTACAACCCGAGCAGTACGGCTCAATCCCGCTTCACAGGAGAACCAGGCTTTAGCGCTACAATCTGAATAGTACAACTCAATCCTGTGGCGCAGCCACACAGGTACCAATCACCCTGGTGGACCACTGCAAGCACCATAGTATATTAATATTTGATATTAGGAGCCAGTCTCTCGTGAATTGAGGCACCCACCCCTGTTCGTTAGCAAAAAATAGAGTTACTAAAATCAAACAAGTATTTGAAGTAATAAGCTCCCTTTCTAAATTTTACTGGAACAATGACAAGACGGAATTGATGCATTTGCATCAAATATTCCGAACAATCCAGTCACACATATACTTGTCAAGGCATTTTATATGAAAATTAAGAAAGGTCAAATAAAGTTCAAGTAGACAGAATAACAGCTATAAATAAAAAATGAAAATTAACACTACGTGTGAAGAATAAGAAATTGTCTTATTACCCTAGGTTATAAAATGACTTGAGGATTACGAGAGCGAATTCAAGGCTACGACGAATTATTTGTGTACATATAAGGAGTGTTTGAATTTACGAATTGCCAAGGCTTCTACAAACCTAAGAATTCGTCGTTGACAAATTTTATACGTTTTAAGAGATGTACCGATGTCAATTTTATGTCCCATTTCAGTTATGTACTTTATTATCGATGAACATGGTTTTCTACTCCCCATCTTTATCGGAGCATTTGACACTAAATAGTTTTAATGCCATCTAAACATACGTTCCATAACCCTGAATTGAATTGTTCGATTACTCCTCCCCATGTATTTGTGTCCACAAAAACATGTAAACTGGTAAATACGATGTTATGTAGCGTAACCGTTCGTGGAATGTGTAGACCTATGAGAATCATGAGTTTAGTACTTTCAACCACAACCAGTATAGCAGTATATGTTTTCTCGTTGGCTGCTTTTAGTTTGTCTTAAAATCATGCTGTTTGATTCATGACTAAATGGTAGAGATATAAACACTTTTCTTCGCAGCAGAATGTTATAACTTGTGGCCCTGTGCCTGATTAAGTTATAACGTAATGATACCACCAATTAAAGAACAGTGATTCATCAATCGAACTAATGGTGCGTAAACTCGTACGACCAGTCTAGATTCCTTGTCGGTTCTTCTTCCTGCCTAGCTCTGCCTGTTGAGTGCAGAACACCAATCTCAGCCTCTGTGATATGAATTATTTATTTCAAACATACCGGGTTTATATACAAACGAAACAGACCACATCGTACCGTAAAATAGGAAACAAAACATGTACAAGATGTAACCAAATGTGACTGTGAATGTGGGAGACTGTAATTGATAAACTGGTAATAACTCAAGAATGGTAAATCTCGTATAATAATAGTCTATAGGTCAAAATAGAGCTTATAATAGAAGGAACATGAATATGCATAGTTTAGCTACTTGACAATTACACAATAGAAATATATGTATAGTATTAGTCCATAAATAGATTCTAACATTTAACATTAATTATACTGATCGGGATATAACACAGAATTAAAGAGGGGTTTCGGTGTTGACTAGTTTTTTGCACTTATTCATAAACTTTGATGGATAATTGTTTGATATCAAGTGTATCAGTCAAGAGTTTCACATTTTCAAATCTATCTGTAGTACATATTCTTTGAGTCCATTTGAAGAAGCATTTTACCAAGCCTATCTTGTATTGAAATGAATAAGAAACTGTAGAAATTCAAATATTACTAAGTCAGTGTTGGTTTTCCTAATACTAACTTGTATGAATTGAAAGTTATATTTTGTCAGCTTTCATCAGTCATCAATCAAAATTTCTTGAGTTTCGACTTGCTTACCTACTTTCTTATTTACACCTGTTACCATAAATGGAGCATAGGCCGCCGACCAGCATTCTCTAACTCACTCTGTCCTGGGCCTTCCTTTCTAGTTCTATCCAATTGTTGTCCATTCTTCTCATGTCTGTCTCCGTTTCTCGGCATAATGTGTTCTTTGGTTTTCATTTTCTCTCTTGATTGGGAGGTTCGTGGGTGCTACTTCGATTTTGGGTGAGTTCAATGGGACTGGTCAATTTAAGAGTTCCTTAAAGTGCTCTGCCCATCTGTTTCACTGTTCTTCAATGTTGGTGATTACTTTGCCTTTCAATTTGCTTAAGACATGGTTATTTCTGAGATTGCGATAAAAATTATTTTATAGTCATATGTTGTATAAACAGACCTCGGTGAACATATTTCCTTCCATTTCCTCATACAACTGTCAGCTGTTATTATAATCATTAGCATTATTATCATTAATATTATGATTACTTCACTAGTGTTTTTCTTTAGTAATTAACATCACTTTCATCATTTCTGTCTACCGTAGTCATAATAATTTGCACATGTTTCTTTTGTCCGATCACATCATGATCTCTCTTCCATTTAATCCGTTCTACCCATTGAACCTGCATGAATATGAGAAGTATTTACAGTTATTTCTTTTCGCCAGTGAAGAAGAAAGTTATTGTATATAGCCTATTATAGTCCTCTTTTATGCCTCCATATGAAAGATAAACTGCCTAACTTGGCTAATTTAATGTATAAATATCAGTTCACTTACTTCTGTGGGGTTAGATATGTAGACCGTTCGTTATGTCTACTTCGACAACATTTATCACCATTAATTATCATTGGGCAGCACAGATCAATTACGCTTTCTGTTCTGCCCTATGTAAAACCGTGATCACGGACTTACGAATTTGAACCTACCTTACGTAATTTTCTCACCTAATTAGTATCCCATTCCTTGATATTCCATAATCAATCACATGATATAGCATTGTCATTTATAGCATGTTAATGATAGTACCTGGTTGATGATTGTCAGCTATGGTTAAATCCCATCCACAAGTCTACATACTACTCACTATTTGGACTTGGGGAAGTTTTCTTTCTAGTTTTATTATAAAGATTGTTCAATTTAAAGCGTGATTCTCACTATAAAGGTCATCGAAATTTTAAAGTGTTTATTTATCAGGTAGATAAGAATTTTCGTTACGGTCTTGTAAAGTTATGAAATTCAAACAAATCCTTTATGTATGCATCAATAGAACACCTTTGTTCCTTTGTGTTTTTTTCTTCACACAGCTACTCCATTAACTCCTACCAGACATTCATCAAAAAATCTTGGTGACGATTCAGAGAAAAGAAAACAACAACAAAAGCTATACGACGACGAATTCAAAAATGGAAATAGAGAACCAATGCCATTGGATCTCAGGAAACCAATTACACAGTTTAATTATGGCATACTTCAACATCCAGATGAATATAATTATTTAGCTGAAGCAGAAAAACAAAAACCAACTATAGATTTTGCATCAGAATTATCTTATGATAGCAGTCTTTATGGTAAAATTAGCCAAGGTTCCGCTCGAAAACAACCACCAATTAAGCATTATGATAAGTATAAGGATAAAAGTAAGCTGATAATTTTTGCTTACATACGTATTACAATTATTATTACTATTATATTACTTATTCTGCGTTAGGTGATTGGAGTGAATGAATGAGTAGCCTTGAAACATAGTAATGTGAGAGTTGATACATGACAATCAAAATAATCTGTATTAACAAAGGAAACGATGAACTTCATGTTGTACAAAATGTTACTAACCTGTTTTGTTATATGGCTAAGATATTCACACATTAAATGACATCATATCGGAAATAAACGTTTATGTTACTATTCTATCACATGCTGTAGATTATAATCTATCTATCTATCTAGCTCAGATAATATAACTTAGTTACTTCATGGTTTGTTATCACGGTTTATCTGCCGTAGCCCTTGTTTCAACTTATTTCCATGTTAGCCAACACACTATGGCCAGGCTTGTCCTACATGAAACTTGTTAAAACCACAGCCAATTTACCGTATCCATAGTGTATGCTAAAGATTATTTGAATTGTGCTTATTCGAGGATTTTCTCATACATCTGTTAAGTTGGAAAATATTACAAGGGTTATTGGTAATTAAGATGTAACTGGAAAATCCTATACCACTAGAAATAATAGAGGAATAGTTGAAGTTACCAGTAGTTTTATAATTATAGATACATCTTACTAATTAGTCTTAAATAGGTCAAAACTGATATTTCGTGTTTATTCTTCAAAGTTAAAGTAGTGATGCGGATCCCGTAAGTATCCTCCCTGCCATTTTGGATGATTTATTGACAAATTTATACTACTAACTGTAAACACTTATTCATTAACTTCTGATATAGCAGTAACTGTTTGTTGTCAAATCATCAATTTCTGATCAATTCTATTAGAACAATCAAATGGTATACTGATTAAAATGATTCTGTAAAAATTTAAAGGATTATATATTTTAAAGTCAGGTTTTCCAAGGTGGTCTAGCTTCAATTGACTCATGATCTAAACCATTGAAATGGCCGTAATATCCACAGAAAACCCTTCTGATATGAATCAACATATAAACACTAGTGACTGGCTTCAAGAGGTATTTCCTGGAGTTCTAATGAGAAGTTGTGATCAATGGAGTTCAACCGGGTCCGTTGTGAGATAGTAACTCACGGATGACAATGGTGGACGTGTGGCTTGATTTCGTGGATTAGTTGAAGTTAGACATTAACACCGTTGGATACCGGCTGGCTTAGTAGTCTAGTGGTTAAGCACTCGCGCGCGAGACTGATATTAATTTCAGTTGGGGATCGGTCCAATGTTTTAGTAAATCAATTGTTTTCTATTTTATATGACTTCAGTAAACTGAGTTTCGTACAAAATAATTATTGATTAATCTCAATTGTAGATTGTTCTCAGTGAAATTTTTACTTAGAATCTAACTAGTAATCAAGGTAGATATTAACAAGCAGAAAAAAGTAACTGTAGATTAATCTCATTTGAGAACAGTTAAAAACCAAGGAGTCTACGTCACTATACATAAAGGTTCGGGGGTCGTCGGCATGTACTGTTCAAGAGTCCTATACTAGAATGAAACGACTGTCCTGTGTTTTCTGGTTTTCAAGGATCCAACTGATGTTCTTGACAAAATACCTTATCTAAGAATCAAACTCAATTTATTGAGGAATTTAGATCTCGGTTTGTTTTTAACGTCTAGTAAAAACTGACATCAGTTTTCTTCTTGAATAATTTCCATTGAGTTGTATATTTCTGTGTGCCATTTTCTATTAGAGAAGATTCTATTGTTCCTAGTTAGAGGAAACTCAATTGTGTATAAGTTGTTCAAACAGCTGATCTTCCTATTTATAATCCATTTATTAATTAATATCAGAAAGGGTTTTGTGGATATTATAGTAATTTTTAATGGTTGAGATCATGAGTCAATTGAAGCTAGACCACCATGGAAAACTTGGAAGCACTGTTTGACGGCCGTTTCGTCCTTTTGTGGGACTCCTCAACAGTGCGCATCCACGATCCCATCTCATGAGATTCGAATCCAGGATCTATCAGTCTCATGCGCGAGCGATTAACAATTAACAATTATCAGTTTAGAAAATACATTTCTATGACACATTTTATAATCATATCATTTTCTGTTACAGTGAAAATAAGTTGTTGCTTTCTTATCATTATATCTGATACCTGACAATGTACTAACTTGAACATTAATTCAAAGGTACTTGAACTCTAATACAAAATACACAATCACTTAGATCACATATTTCAAGGTTATTATTGGCACGTCGATTGAATCGTCATACCATGAACACATACTTTTTTATGTAAATCAGAATACACAACAACAAATTAAGTTATATAATTCTGATAATAGATCAATAAACTCTCAAAGTCCAATGTAGGCAAGTATAACACTATAGTCGTTTTAAAGTTTGACCATGTTGGAGTAGATTATATTCATCAAATGAGATTATCTGGTAAGGGTAATTATCGTAATAACCTGTGCACACTAATGACTTGGATGGAGATAAAACTTACTGAAATGTCTATCAGAAAATGTAATTTGAAGAATTAGCCTAATTGATTGTATGATGGTTGATCATCATTGACACTATATGTAAATTGCATTGTATCACAAACTGACTGTTCAGTTCTTCTATTTTCAATAATTTTCAATCGATGACGATTATCGTTGAAATACAGATAGGATGTTAAACAAATGATTCATTCAACTATATTCAATCATCCCATTAATAAAGTGATAACTTCTCAGACTTCGAAGTTGTGTGGCAGATTCTCATCTCGCAGAAAGCTTGATTTATCTCAAAACTAAAGGTACGCCTTGCTGACTGATACCATAGTTTCCTCCGCTCAAAATCAAAATATTTTCACTATCAAGATGATGGACTAAAAATCAATTTTAATTACTCTTCTAAAATAACTTAAGTAATACATTTAGGGAAGATTTAGTTCTCAGACCATTCAACTTTCAACCATTTGGTTACAAGTTCTAACTATAATTCACCTATTTTAACTTAGACAATCGCAATTAGAATCAATACCCTACAAATATATGTACACGAAGAGCGCCTAATTAGTAAGTTGTGCTAATAGATTCTCGCTAATTCCTTTGAAATTAGAATATGGTTAGAAGATGGGTTTCGATAAGTCTATTTCGTAGGTTGTTTGCCAATTATTGGTCGAATCCTGATGAGAGACAAACATTTAACTGTTGAACTTTGATAACTAGTCCTACCATTAGTATTTGTAAATTTAAGCCTGTAGACACTATGTTCATCCACAAATGGATTTATATTAGACATATGGCTAGATCTAAGCACATACATACATACACATAAAAGTTGACATTTTCATCATGGATAATTTTTAACCAACGTAATGTTAGACTAATTCATTTTATCAAATGAATTCTGTTGAATTAATAATCAGTGGTCTAGTGGTTAAGTGCTTGTGCGCGAAGCCAGTAGGTCCTGGGTTCGAGCCCCGCGTGGTGCGGGATCGTGGATGCGCACTGCTGAGGAGTCCCGTACTAGGATGAAACGGCCGTCCAGTGCTTCCAGGTTTTCAGTGGTGGTCTAGCTTCAACTGACTCATGATTTCAATCTGTGAGAATTAATAAATATTTGTCCTCGGGTGAAAAGAAACACCCTATGGAAAAACTAGTTAGTTTATGTTATTTGAATGAATTATGCTTTGAGGAATATAATCGGACTGAACTAATTCACATATTATAATTTCAAACAAATTGTCACCTTAATCATATATTGAGTAATTTGTTATAACTTGTCAGTTGAATGCTGCTTGTTTTGGGGTTAATAAATCTTCACTTATACCAGTCTTTGTGTTCTTACTTTCGCGTCGTGGGAATTGCAGAAGTCTTTCGTTTCGAGTATAAGTGATAAGCGTTTCCGACGTAACAAGCAACATTCAGCTGACAAGTTATAACAATTGGCGACGGGGTGAAAAAAATTTTAAACCCTTAATCTTCAAATTAACGAATCCAGGTCAACCTGTAATTGAACAAAATTCAGTGTAATTATTTCGAGCAATCAGCATACAGGGTTCTCACCGGTGTCCTTGAACGACATTGATTGTTAATTAATCATACAGTATTTTTCATTACCGTGCTGATTCAGAAAATGGTTATCTCTTCCAATTAGTCATAGTTGCTATTTGAACGACAACAGCAGCCTTTCAAAAAGAGCCAGTTGAATGTTTTAGACGTTTTACGCACACGGCTGCTAAATCATCCATGTTTTGGAGATGTGACAGAAGTTGATTAATTAATTTCTAATGTGCATACAGAGCTGAAAAATGACTGCAGCATTTATGAACACGTCGATGAAAGCCTCCGTGAATCCTTGATAAGCGGTAATGTAAACGAAGTAGTAGCAGTTATTCATGATCAGCCCAGTGGTCCAGAAATGTCCATTTCAGAGACATGTCCTATCGTGGGTTCAAATCCCATCCCCGTCGCCAATTGTTATAACTTGTCAGTTGAATATTGCTTGTTTTGGTTGTCGCTGGTTGTTACGTCGGAAACGGTTATCATTTATACTCGAAATGAAGGACTTCTGCAATTCCCACGACGCGATAGTAAGAACACACAAGACTGGTATAAGTGAAGATTAATTAACCTCAAAACACGATGATGACGACGACCTTAGTCGAAAAACATACTCATTTATATATTGCTGTATACACACTGATTAATAATTCGGATGAAATCACATATATGAGAATTACTTAGAGTTATAACAAATCATATGCTGAGTATAGTTCATGTCAATGGAATACAAGAATATCGCATATTATACAGAATAAAATATCATACGAGACAATAAAACAACTACTACATTGAGTAATCATTACATTGAATCAAAACGGAGGTAATGTTGAACAAAACTGATAATGGGTAAATCAATCGGATTTGGACTTTTCTTCTCGTCATAGCATAATTACTTATCAATAGTTGGTGATTACATTCTGTGGGAGTTTTTTCTTTTAGTAGAAAA